TGACTATGCTAAAGCCTTTGATTGTGTGGATCACAACAAATAGTGGCAAGTTCTTAAAGAGATGGGAGTACCAGACCATCTTATTTGTCTCTTGAGAAACCTATATGCAGGTCAAGAAGCAACAGTGAGAACTGGACACAGAACCACTGATTGGTTCAAAATTGAGAAAGGAGTTCGGCAAGGCTGTATATTGTCGCCCTGCCTATTTATCTTAAATGCAGAGCACATCATGAGAAAGGTGGGGCTAGATGAATCACAAGTTGGAATTAAGATTGCTGGGAGAAATATCAACAACCTCAGATATGCAGATGATACCACTCTAATGGCAGAAATTGAAGAGGAACTAAAGAGCCTCTTGATGTGGGTGAAGAAGGAGAGCGCAAAAGTTGGCTTGAAACTCAAAATTAAGAAAACTAAGATATGGCATCTGGTCCTCTCACTTCCTGGCAAATAGATGGGGAAGAAATGGAGGTAGTGACAGATTTTATTTTCCTGGGCTCCAAGATCACTGCTGACAGGGACTGCAGCCAAGAAATTAAAAGACGCTCCTGGGGAGGAAAGCTATAGCAAATCTAGACAGCATACTAAAAAGCAGAGACATCACCCTGCCAACAAAAGTGTGTATAGTCAAGGCTATGGTTTTTCCAGTTGCAATGTACGGCTGTGAAAGCTGGACCATAAGGAAGGCTGAGCGCCGAAAGATTGAGGCCTTTGAATTATGGTGCTGGGGGAGACTCCTGCGAGTCCCTTGGACCGCAAGGCAATCAAACCGGTCAGTCCTAGAGGAGATCAACCCTGACTGCTCTTTAGAAGGCCAGATCCTGAAGATGAAACTCAAATACTTTGGCCACCTAATGAGAAGGAAAGACTCCCAGCCTAATGCTGGGAACAATAGATGGCAAAAGAAGAAGAGGACGGCAGAGGATGAGGTGGCTGGATGGAGTCACTGAAGCAGTTGGTGTGAGTGGACTCCGGGGGATGGTGGAGGACAGGAAGGCATAGAGGAATGTTGTCCATGGGGTCGCGATAGGTCGGACACGACTTCGCGACTAACAACAACAACAAATACTACCCCTTAGCTGAAGTTCTCTTCCTGGATGATAAGAAAAAGAAAAGTTAAGAGAACTAACCACTACTTGGTTTGTTAGGTTTCTGTATGATCACAGAATTGTGAAAATACTGAAAGAAAACGTAATAAGGACAGGAATGCAGAATTAACTTCTGAAAGAAACCACTTATCATGGACAAAGAAGATAACAGTTTTAACAGAAAGAATACATGGGCAAGAGTTCCCTAATGGGAGATCAACCACTCATCCCACAGCCAGTAGTATTTCTCAGAAAAGGGAGGAATATGCACAACGAAAAATTAACTACAGGACTAAAATTTACTATGTAAATACATGAACACTATTATGACATTTATTAATAAAAATACTGGCATACATTAGCATTGCAGCTTCCAGATGGTGGCCACATTAGTAGGTCAGAGACAACTGGGGAGAAATTCTGGGTACCTACGAAATTTGATGCTGGTGCTTATCAGACCAGAAGAGAAACAACAAATGCATGATATAAGAAAGCAACCATCATTTAAATCTCTGGATTAAGTGCAACCAGGCAAAGTTTTGGCCTCAGAGTCAGTATTTGGCTGCTAGTCCTGTCCAGACTTCCCCAATGAGAAGATATCCCCCTGCCCTGGCCAAACGACTTGTTCCTCCCTCTTTTTGCTAGTATTCAGGGATCAAACATCTTTTTCGAGGAACTGTTTCTCCTCATAACAGAAAACATCTAAATGAGTTGCATATCTTCTAAAAGTGGACCTAGATGGCAAAAACCTTAGGGGAAAGAGCATTTCACTTCTGGGTCGTTAAAAAAGTAATGGGTCATTAATAAAACAAAAGATCATTAATAAAATTCCACCAGCTTCTCATAATATAATATTGGACATACAGCTGCAGCATCCTAATAAAATGAAGACTATGCAAACTATTATTACTGGGTGGTTTAAAAATATCTATATTTCCATTAATACAGCTATCATTTGACTTCTACTAACAGCAAAAAAAAAAATCAGTAATAGGTAAATTTTGCTCATGTACAATTTCCCTTAAGAATCAGATACCACAACACTAAGGGCAATTAATGAATTCTACAGACAGAACCACTATTGAAGCTGCAGAACCAACCCAAATCTCCCAAATTTCTACTATGAAAGATAATTATCTTAGTTAGGAAACAATATACTTATAATAGGCCACAAGTTAAAGCAGGCTAGATTTCTTGCCTAGAACAACCAGTTGGTACCAATAAAATTACACTGACATTCTACAGAAAAGGCAGTGGTTATTTACCCATCTGTTCCGATCCTTTTCAACAATGCTAAGGGAGTGGAAAAAATCTTATGAAAAGGTCCAGACAGCAGTCAAACTCAGGGCCTAGTTCATCATACACTCCCTTGAATTCGAAGTAACAGTGAACCTGAATAGGGAATGCAAGGGCCACAGACTTCCCCATGTGTGTAGCACTCTTCACTGGAACAATCCATGTTGTTTTACTCAATGTATCCCTAATCTGAAAGGCATTCTCTAGACTTGACTAGAGTATCAGCTTCCCCCATCAAGTTCTCGGGAGGACCTCCTTAAAGCTGATTCCATGTGAGGTAAGAATTGAAGATAGCAAGACCTTTTCTAGATGTGCACTATAGAATGTGCTCTCCAAAAAGGCCCACCAGGTGCCATCTTTGTTTTAGAAACTCTTTTAAAAGTGTTTCTATGCCACTAGCCTTTTGTAAACTATAGGATCCATCCATTTTAAAAAAATACCAAGTTTCCCCAGCACTTGGTTATTACCTTTCACACTTTGTGTTATTGCTGTTCCCATGCAACTTTCCCTGTTTATAGAAGACACTTGGTGAAAACCATTCTGGGCATGCTTTTACACAACAGCATAAAAATGGGTTTTTATACATGAAAAGATTCTACCACAATTCATGAAGTCAGACTGTTCACCCCTAACATTTTAGGACTAATTTTAAAATAGATTTTATTCACCTACAGATGAATACAGAAAGTGATACTGACCAGCACCTCAATTCTAATTTATCCTTTCTTGGTGTCTTAATTAGAATTATTACTGAAATGGTGCAGTTGCTTGAATTATCTTTCAAGTAGTAGTAATTAAGTAAGTTCAGTAAAAGGGGGAAGTATCAAAGCTTTACTCTAATGCAGGGATATGGAAAACCTTTCAACCCCTATATTTTAGAGACTGCATGCTAGCAAGTCGGTGAGACCATAGCCATTTCTACATAACAAGTAGGTTCTAATGCCATTTTATTAAAGTGTTGGTTATGTCTCTATATTACTTGGGCACAGGCTAACTAAAAGGCTGCATTATATCATATTAGCCTGCCCAGATTGTAAGATCTTCACTGAAAGCTGCTTTCAGTTCAATCACAATCAGAGGCAAGTTTCCTGGGGATGAGAGAGGGCCTGCCTAGTGACTATGCCCAGGTTCTGGAACTCCCTGCTGAGGGCAGGCCAGGTTGGCCTGCTCTGTTCTTTGACAAAAATGCAGGGAAAGGCATTTTCATCCAGGCAGGCCTTTGACAAATACTGCTGAAGGGAGTTCTGTTGAATGCTGCTGATTTCTCTTATTGTTTTGTTCTTAACTGTGCTTTTAATTTATTTGTTTTATGAATGTGTTAATTTAAGTATTTGCTATAATCTTGCTCTTATTATTATCAAGCACCACCTTGGGCAACACTTGCTGGAAAGGTAGGACAGAAATCAATTAACAAATAAATAAATAATACACGTAGCAGGGGAAATAAACAACTCAGTTCAAAGGAGAAAAAAAATCAAGGAAATACTTAATTCTCAGCCCCAAGGGACCACTGTTTCCAAAATGAGAGTGGAAACCATGTTTATTATTGGATGGTACTGACTGTTCTATTGTTTTTAGATAATGCCAAGCTGCTCTTACAGGTATCATGTGAGGATTCAAGACCAATGATCCAATAGGCATTTTGGGCTGTGTAGCTGAGATGGCAATACAGGCACTAGACTGTTCCACGGAAGTAGAAACATATGCAATGTAAGGCAACAGGAGCAGTGTTGCCATCTAAAATGTTACAGATAACATACACAGAAATGTGGAACAGGGAAAAGTATATCAAATGCTGGGGAACCAACATGGATTCCAAGTGCTGAGAAACTACATGCAGAAAAGTGCAGATAAATATGGCATGGGGGTGGGGAGAGTGTCAAGAGTTGGAGAAGTTCTGCAGGCTGCTGGGGATGCAACGCAGAGCACCGGAAGTGGATGGGATGAGAACTGGAACCTCTGTGCGTGGGAACAGAATTAAAGATTGGCAAGGGCACAGAGGACAGATAAATCTGAATGGAAGGCCCTGGGTGGGTGAAGAAACATATGATGTGCGTGAATCGGAACGGCAAGATTTGTCCTCAAATTCTAGGGAAGCATCCAGTGCAGGGCACAATCTGGACATGGAAATGCATCCTGGCAACACAACAATGGATTAGGCAATCAGGGCTATAAGATGCAGATCCTGGTGTAAGAGGGAGAGGAGTCTCCCCGCAGTATTTAGACAGGGCTACCTGCAGGCAGGGAGTGGATCAAAGTGGACATGAGTCAGTAGGCTGCCGCGTCAGTGGGGCTCGTCTCAGGGAATCATATGCCAGGCAGGTTTGGATCTGCAGAGGAACCATATGGAGGAAGAACAGGACTAGCCTTGCACAGGGCAACGGCACAGGGGAAGGAGATGGAGGGGGTTCTGTAAGGCAATGCCTCCCAGGAAGGGCAGGGCATGGGCGTGCTGCGCCTTGCAGAGGAGACCAGGGGAGGACTCCTGGGCAGCAGGCCACGGCGATGTAGCCGGTCGCCGAGCAAGCAAGGCACGGGGAACCGGGATGTGAGTGGGCGGGAGGAGGAATCGCGTCCTCGAGGACGAAACCGCGCCGCCGCCGCCGCCCCCATCACCTCTTGACGCGGATGATCTGGTCGCGCATGGGGCGGATGTCCTGGAAGCTCTGCTGGTTGACCAGGCTGTAGACCAGGATGAAGCCCTGCCCGTTCTTGATGTAGAGGTCCCGCATGGAGGCGAACTGCTCGGTGCCGGCCGTGTCCAGGATCTCCAGCACCGACGGGGAGGCGTCCACCTCGATCTCCTTGCGGTAGAAGTCCTCGATGGTGGGGTCGTACTTCTCGATGAAGGTGCCGGTGACGAACTGCACGGTGAGCGCCGACTTCCCCACCCCGCCCGAGCCCAGCACCACCACCTTGTACTCGCGCATCCTCTTCCCGCGGCCAGCCTCCCTCCGACCCGCCGCCGCCGCTCGCCGACCGCCACAGCCGCCGCCGCCTCCTCCTCGGGCGGTCACCCCCCTGCGGCCGCAGCCGCCGCCACCGCGTCCTCCGGCGCCGCCATGGCTCCGCACGGGAGGAGGAGGGAGAAGACGCGAGGCGAGGGCGGGCCGCTCCCGCGCAGCCACACCGGCCCCCGGGCGACGCTGCCGGAAGCCGGGCCGCCTCCACGGGCCGCTGCGAATGCGGCGGCGGCGGCGGCGCTACTGCTGCCGCTGCCGTCGCGGCCGGGCGGAGCGAATACCCCGCCCCCTCATTCTTCGTAACCAAGGGAACCACCAACCGGACAGCGCCTGGGTGCCCTGTCACGTGGCCGGGACGAACGCGCCTCCACCAATCGCTGCAACCGGAGCAACTGAATGACACACATTCTACCGGCCTTCCTTTCTTTTCTTTTCTCTCTCTCGTTCGCGTCCTCTCTCCTCCCCTCTCCCCACCTCCTCCGCCCTGTCCCCACGTGACCGCTCCGCTGCCTTCCCACTGTAGCCTAGGAAATAAGGGACCCGCCTTGCCTCCCACTTCACGCCCCCCGCCAGATTTGGGAGGCACGTGGCTCCAACCGGCCAACCGAACAGACTTTCCCGTCACGCGCGTGCCCGAGCCGCCCAATCGGCGGGCAGGCACTGTTGCTGCCGGAGGAAAGCGGCAGGAAAGAGAAGCCGTGACTCACGCCTTCCTCGCTCCTGGTCGCCGCTCTCGGGGCAGGTGCCGGGCGACGCTCAGCCGGGCCGTCAGCGGAGGGCGCGCTGGGCAGGCGACGGGGACCCGGCGCGGGCCTGGCGGGACACGGAGAGGCTCCGTGCCGGCAGGGCCTGAAGCGCCGGGCCCCTCGCCTTCTCCAGAGAGGGCGCCCCGCCTGGCCCGCCGCGAGGCTGAGGCGCCGCCCGGTCGCCCCTCCGCCTCTGCCTTCTGGGCCCGCCGTGGGAAAGGCAAGGGCTCGGGGGAGAGCCCCGTCGGGCCCCGGCGCTCCGCGTGGTGCCGGAGAAGGCGCGGGGTGGGAGAGCAGGGAGCGGCGAGCACCGCTCCCCGGCTGGCTGGAGGGCGAGCGAGCCGAGGAGGCAGCCGCGGAGGGGTTCCGCCGGGCGGGCGGGCGGGCGAGGGCGTGAGGTGGCTGCCTTGCCCGGCGTGGCAGGGCCGGGCGGGGGGATCCGGCCTCGGGGGGGGGCGGGAGTGCGAGCGGCCGCTGCTGAAGCGTCTGGACACGCGTTGGAAGCACGAGCTGCCTCTGCTGCCGAGAGAGGACGGGCGCAGGCGAGGGGTTGTCCCTCATGCCCTGCTCGTATCGCCTCGTCGCTAGCAGCGGCGGATCCGCCTCGACTGCTTTCCTCCCAGACACTTGGGTCTCGGTAAAGTTTAGGGTTGAACAGGCATTTGAAACTCGCCTGTGGGCTTATACAAATTGGCTTTGGCTAACTGGCCTAACAATTTGACAAAATACTGAATAGCTGGGAGTAGAAGGTTGCGATTTTAGTTTTCCTTGGATGCTAGTCAGTTGGTGCACCTAGGTTTTGACCAAAATATATGAGACATATGAAACCAGAATGGGCTTACAAACAGAAATGGACAGAAGAATGCTGCAATTAGCAGTTTATTCAGTAATTAAAAAAGGAATAGTATAGAGCTAGGCAGGTGTCTATGGCAAAGAGTCCATGATACTGTTGCCCACATGTCAGCAAAATACACATGTAACTGGGTGAACGTTTTGTTGGGAGTAAGTTACAGTGAAAGCAGGACTGCATGCTTCCTGCTGAGTGCTAGAAACAGTGGAGTTGCTTTCCCTACACTGGCCAGCTGATCGCCCACTCCTGCTGCAGAGGAGATTGTTAGTGGAGACACCTCTGACTGCACAAAATGGCAGTTGTCAGTGGCACACTTTCAAGGCGGTTGTCCACTCTTGCCGAGCAGCTCTCTGGTATTGGCCTTGGTACTACAATGCACTGAGTTGTCCAGGTTTGGACAATACAAGCCAGCACGGTTCTGAGAAACCGTAAGACAGATCATTGTTTCTGTTTGTGGGTTCAGAACCAAATGCATTCTGCACAAGTACCACAGTGCGGTTCAGGTGGCATGAGAGAGCAACAAAGGAAAAAGCCCCCACTGTTGCTTGTCATGTCGCGCAGACCCACCCAGTGCGTATCATTCTCCCTGTTCTCACCCGTCCTAGTTTACAACATGAGCCCTCTCAGCATGGAACATGTCCGATGCTAACTGTTGGCCCTAAGTGAAAGACTGCTGGAGGGGCATCCTCAGGATTTCTCTCCAGAAGAGTCACACATGCAGTTCAAACGAAGTGGCCGAACATTTTGCAGTCTTAAGCTCCAGTGCTGGAATTTTGTTTTAGGGAAGCTTAAATAACAAGTCACCCCCGCAATAGGGTTGGAAGGCTTTGCTATCTTCACATAATTTTCTGCTTCCTTAAGCAGAATGACACACTCAAAGGGAAGCTTTGAGTTAGTTGGGCTCTACTTAGGATAGTCAGCAGCTTGTCCCACTTATAAACCTTCCTGGTGAGGTTTATGCTCGAGAGCGACTTCTCCCTCTGTAAGGGTGCGGACCCGATTATGTGGGTCCGCCCCCGGAGCCGGATGGATCCAGAAGGATTCCTGAAGGCCCTGGGGGAGTTTCCGGCTGACAAGACGGGTGCTCCTGTCGAGGCTCTGGTCGAACTGTGGAATGGGGAGATGACCAGGGCTGTAGACACGATCGCTCCTAAGCGTCCTCTCCCACCGGGCAGAGCCCGCTCTTCCCCTTGGTATACTCCTGAATTGAGGGTGATGAAGCAGGTTGGGAGACGACTAGAGCGTAGGTGGAGGAAATCACGAGATGAATCTGACCGAACACACTTAAGAGCCCACTATCGGGCCTATGCTGTGGCGGTGAGGGCGGCAAAAAAGAGATTCTTTTCCGCTTCCATTGCCTCCTCACAATGCCGTCCGGCGGAGCTCTTTCGAGTGGTGCAAGGCCTGGTCCGTCCAGGTCCAAAGGAAGACCTGATTCCACCCTCAAAGACCCGCTGTGACGACTTTGCCAGGCATTTCAGGGAGAAAATCGCTCAGATTCGTCACGAGCTGGACACCACTATTGATTCAGAGGTTTCAAAGGAGACACCAATGCTGCCGTCTGGTCCAGATTTATTGGATGAATTTCAGTTATTGCGGCCCGATGATGTGGACAAGGTGCTTGGGCGAGTACGTCCAACCACTTGCCTTTTGGACCCTTGCCCGTCTTGGTTAATAAATGATTCCAAGCACGGGATTGGAACCTGGATCTTGGAAGTGGTTAACGCTTCTCTGAGGGAGGGTCGGGTGCCGGCCCCTTTGAAGGAGGCGGTAGTCCGACCGGTCCTGAAGAAGGCGTCACTGGATCCAGAGATGGCCTCTAATTATAGACCAGTGGCCAACATCCCGTTTCTGGGCAAGGTGTTAGAACGAGTGGTGGCGGGACAACTCCAAGCACTCTTGGATGAAACTGATTATCTGGACCCATTGCAGTCCGGCTTCAGACCCGGGTACGGTACTGAATCTGCCTTGGTCGCCCTGTATGATGACCTGTGCAGGGAGAAGGACAGGGGGAGTGCGTCCCTGTTGGTTCTGCTGGACCTCTCAGCAGCTTTCGATACCATCGACCATGGTATCCTTCTGGATAGGCTTGCGGGATTGGGGGTTGGAGGCACTGCTTTGCAGTGGTTCCGCTCCTATCTCAATGGCCGGTTCCAGAAGGTGGTGCTGGGGGACTATGGCTCTGCGCCATGGCAGCTATGCCATGGAGTACCGCAGGGGTCCATTTTGTCCCCTTTGCTGTTCAACATATACATGAAACCGCTGGGAGAGGTCATCAGGAGGTGTGGGCTGCGGAACCATCAGTACGCTGATGATACCCAGCTCTACCTCTCGTTTTCCACCAATCCAGGTGAGGCAGTGGCTGTGCTGAACCGGTGCCTGGCCGAGGTAATGGGCTGGATGAGGGCCAATAAACTGAAGCTCAATCCAGACAAGACGGAGGTCCTGTTGGTTGGTGGATCGGGCTTCGGAGAAGGTGAATTGAACCTTGTCCTGAATGGGGTTGCACTCCCTCTTAGGGACAAGGTCCGCAGCTTGGGAGTGCTCCTCGACCCAGAGCTTTCACTGGAAGCTCAGGTAACAGCAGTGGCGAGGAGCGCTTTCCTCCAGCTTCGGCTAATTCATCAGCTGCGCCCCTATCTGGAGAATGACTGCCTTGCGACAGTGACACATGCGTTGGTGACTTCCCGTTTGGACTTCTGCAACGCGCTCTACGTGGGGCTACCCTTGAAGACGGTCCGGATACTTCAATTGGTCCAAAATAGAGCTGCCAGGCTGCTGACGGGGACTGGACGTTATGTTCACATGACTCCAGTTCTCCGTCAGCTTCACTGGCTTCCCATTGAAGTCCGGGCCCAATTCAAGGTGTTGGTTATGACCTATAAAACCCTAAACGGCTTGGGTCCTGGTTACCTGAAGGAGCGCTTACATCCTTATATGCCCAGCCGCCCCCTGAGATCGGCGGGAGAGGCCCTTCTCCGGGAGCCCTCCATGGAAGAAGTTAGGAGGGTGGTTACTCGGAGGAGGGCTTTCTCAGCGGTGGCGCCTAAGTTATGGAATGCGCTCCCCAGAGAGGTCCGCCTGGCGCCGTCGTTATTTGTTTTTCGGCGCCAGGCGAAGACCTTTTTATTTAAGCAGTATTTTAAATGTTAATATTATTGAATTTTATTTGGCCAGGGCGGCTTGTTTTATAGTGTATATTTGTATTTTATTGTATATATTTTAAAATGTTATTTTAAATTTTTTGTTGTAAGCCGCCCTGAGGCTTCGGCGAATGGGGTGGCATAAAAATGTTTTAATAAATAATAAATAAATAAATAAATAAATAAATAAATAAATAAGATGTCCAAACAGATTGCACAATGCTTTTG